GTGTATAGAAATAAGGAGCAACTACTTCGAGGACGCATATCGGTATTAAAATACTTTGCATAAATATTTTTAACTACGCTATCTGTACAGGAAGGGAATTGAAGTCGTAAACTTAACAGGAGCGGAAATACTACCGAGTTCGATAAAATGAAGACTATTTGCAAATAATGCCAATCTTAAAGTAATGTTTAATTTTTTGAAGGAATAATCATTTTTCTACGTTAAACTAATATCTTTGATTTGATATTATTTTTATAGTACAAACATATCAACTTAAAAAATTGAATTCGAACTCTTTAAAAATGTACGGAATACTAAAAGGGAACTTGAAAAGTTTTGCAAAAAAACTAAAAAAAAAATGATTAGCTTCAAAGTAAAAGTTTATGCACAATTTGCCATCCAGTGCTGATTGTCTGATTGAAATATCTACCTGCTTTGTTTCCCACTTTCATATAAAAAGTTTCCTTAAATTACAAGTGACAGTAACGCAACACAAGCGACAGGTAGACTTGATGTTACGAAAGGGATGATAAATTTGGTGTATTTGGGGGCTGAAAATTGGCAAAATATAGAGAATTTTATTTTTAGCTTACGGCTAAATAATGCAAAAAAAAAATCGAAGTAATACATTTGGAAAAAAAAGAAGAAGTCATTTATAAGAAAAAAATGGCAATAAGTCATGGGTAATGAGAATAAATGGACGCAAGTTATCTTTAGGACCTTCCACTTTCAGATTAATATCTGATTGAATTTTATGTCCGAATTTTAAATTATTTTTATTTTATTGTGGGTGTGGTTAGGCATTAGGTTTGTTTTCAAACTTGGCCATAAACTTAACGTTCCAAGCACAGGACGTATACAGGTGAACAGACGCGCAAAATAAAACCAAGACAGAATATTATGCAAATTAAAAACATTTATTACTGTGTTATAAGCTCTCTAAAGAAATATCTTGTCATTACATAAGGAAGTGCAAATCTAATGTAGTTTCATCCATAAGCACATGGAAAACTCATCGACGGTTCGAAAAACGGTTTAAGTGTGTTTATTTTAAATTGAGATATTCTGTGTGTATTCATACTCATCTCCTTAGAACATGCGGACCCAGTAAGATTCTACTTTCCTCCTCTTGCTCGTCGTCCTTTTGCTGAAAGCCTGACTACATCAATACGTAGTAAATCAAACCATCCAGAGGTTCGTAAAAGAAACAATCGCAACCGACCATTAGGAAACCGTCTTACAATTTTCTCGCATCTAATTTGGCTGAAAGCAAATATTCCTTTTTACATAACCCGAACTAATATCGCACAAATCCTTCACAACAACAAGATAGTGTACATATGAGCTTGTTGAAAAGGAAGGTTCGATTTTTTCTAACAATGTACAAAGACCTTTCCACTTATTACGTTTAGGTGGATTATTTGGACTTAAATCTTTCGTTCTTTTGTTAAAGTTGTGGCATTGTGGGATTTCAATATTTTATTGATTGTTTATATTATTATGAATATATTAAAAATTATTTAAAAATAAACATTTTCTTCTCATTTATTTACTTAAATGCCTTATAACTGACATCCTGACAGGTTGGCTATCATAGTAATGTTTATTTGACAATTTGTTATAATTATTTATATACTTTTAATACATTATATTGTAATTTACTATTGAAAAAATAAAAATATAAAATATTTCTCTCTGTTGCTCGAAACTTAATTCTACACCAATTTCTCAATTCAATTAATAAATGCTGCCAAGTTTAAGTTCCGAAGAAAGAAAAGAAAAGAATTAAAAGCTTTTTTCATTCGCTAGTTTCAGGTGCGTTTTGTTTCTCTTGCACCTTTTCTCTTTTACACACTGGAACAAAAGGTATGCTTACTTTACTTACTTTGTTTTATTCAATTCTCAACTTGGTTAAGCGGCTAGAACCATATTAACAGTTGTTAAGTTAGGATGATTTGGTTTTGGTTACGCGCAAAAATTAATTTTTGCTATACGTGTTAACAAGTATTTAACGTTCTGTTGAATAACGATAAACATTAAATTACGAATTTGTTTATGTGAAATGCATGATGGCAATGCCTTAATAGAGAATCTAAGGAAATCGGAAAAGCACTTACAGCTCTTTACAAGGCACAACAAGGATATCAGGAGGTAGAAAGTGAATGAATTTATGAATAAAATGTAATAAGAATGTGAAGAAACGAGGCTTAAACTAGAAACGGTTACTAAACCTATGTCAGTTCTTAATGAACAATAATACCGAGGAGATCAGCTCACCGGAAATAAATTCAAAGGGAACATATAATATATAAATTAATAACGTGATGTTAATAAAAATCTATATAATAGATGAAAATTAAAACTTTTAGAAAAAACTATTATGATTAATATATATTTTGGATGAAGGTTGTAACCTGTATTTATAAAAATTTTGAAATAAGAAAATAACTAAGTAAGATAATATAAAATAAATAGTAGAATAAAAAGTCTAAGAAATAAAGACAAGCAGTGAATACATACATAAAACTAAAAAATAAACGAAAAACAAAGTGAAACAAAATAATAGAAACTAACATTAAAATAATGTAATAAAACTTGAGAAAATTTAATTCGCCTTTGGACGAATCATGGACACGGATCAGCTTAGACTTATATTTAACAATTGTTACGTCTTCAAAATTAAGAGCACTTCGAGTGATCGCTCAAATCTACGTTTGCACTGAATTTTTTAGAACAATCTTGAAAAATATTTATACAAATTTCATTCATGCTGTTAATATTATTTAATCTTGAGCTCTTGGTTTAATTAAAAATTATATATTAGAGATTTATAATGAGGATCAGAAGAACGGCTAGATAGACTGGTATCCCTTAATTGGATATGAGGACGCTTGCACTTTCCGGTTGTTATTATTTATATGATATAGTTCCTTTTTTAAAAAAAAAAAGGGGAAGGAGGGAAAATAAGGGCTTATCACAGAGAATAAAAAATATCGTATGTATTTATATTTATCGAGCAATTTCACAATACATATTTTACCGAATTTGCTATCTCGTGTAGTGTTCATGTCCAATATTATAAGCTCTTTTTAAATGAATTATACTCCATCATAAGTGACATTATTCAATTGTACGATATTAAGAAACGAATAAGAGATGCATACTTAAGTGATCTATATCACAATTCCGGAAATTTTTATCAATTATTAATTATAAAAGGCTGTTTTGAACATTAAGAAGAATGAGTTCAGATTGACGTTGACTTTAATTATTTTTTGAAATATGTGGAAGTAATAAGCGTACACAGTGTGCATGTGAAATTTCAACTTTCAATCTAAATATCTTAATTTTGAAAAGAAAATGAACATCCAGGCAAAAAGATTTCAATGAACTAATCCCGAAATAATTCAGAAATCATTTTTCCAACTTTCGAACAGTTATTTAAAAAAATTATTGTAATAGTTGCTGTGCTTCTAAAGCTTCCTCTACAGGTCGTTATAGGGTAAATGCTTAATAAAATTAATTACTGCTTACAATATTTAAACTATGAATTAAACTACAAAATTTAATAACCCTTGCACCACATTTATTTATATGAAGTGTTCTTTCATATGTTATAGAAGAGAGCAAAGAAAGCAAGTAAGAAAATTATACCCATTAATTAAACCCATTAATTAATTTTCTCACAAAAAAAAAACAAAAAATGAAATTTCGACACTTTAAAATTTTTGGTTTTGAAAACACAAGTGTTTTCACTTTTTGTTGCAGTGCATCGACTAATTTCAACACCAACTTGAATAAAGGAACTTTCATTCTTTGTGCCAAATTTGAAGAAAATGTTTTTATTGTAGGGACCAAATGAATGTTTCGTATTTGCTAGCCTACTTAACGGCAACATAGCCTATATTGCTAAAAATTTCTATCAATATCCGCAACGGATATCTTAATAATATTTGCCTTAACAGATCATCGCTTTCCTAAAGAAGTATGCATTGGGCTTAGCAATTAGAATTCTCGTGTTTAACGGTTAGAGCTGAACAAGTTATATATATCACTAGACTCTTCCATTTTCGCTAATTATTGCTATCTCTCATTCTATTGCTACCTAGACCATCGGCCCACCTTGAAAAAAATACTTCGAAATATTCCGTTTATACTCTTTTGCACGTGTTTTACTTCAATTATTTTCGATGAGTCTTTGCGGCATCCAAGCTTGCTGCGAAGATATTTTAGATGGTCGGGGTACACCATCGATTTTGTTATGAAACAATCTCCTGAACAACGTTGCTGATAATCAAAGCACAAGTTATTTTATGTATAGTATGCGTATTAGCGTTATGTCAAAACATAAAGAATAGCACTAGGTTTTGGTGTGGCAACTCTACTCAACTCTACATCTAATATTCATAAGCTTGTTTGACGAGATCTGGCATCCGATTTTCTGATTAGAAAAAACATTTGATGCTGACTTTCCCCATAAAACAAGACTAACACGTAATGAGCTGAAAAACTCTATTCACCGTCCCGCCATATATCTTCGCGAGGCTGCACGTTGTTTTCCCCAGCCGCCACAAGCCCAAACCAATTAATTCAAACTGAATGAAGGTCGCCGTTAACTAGTTAACTTGTTACTCTTTGCAAGTGCCGATGTTTTTCGGGCTTAACTGAAGGCAAGGAAACTTGTAAAAGTAGACAAGATATCATCCTACTTGAAAATATAATTTTTCCAACGGCATTCGATTCCATGGATACTGTTTTTTCAAATATTCCATTTCCCCACTTCCTCACCAAAGTAAAAAAATTTTTAGAATACGAAAGACCAACACGAATTGATGTAAATGGTTTGCCGAGTAAAAACAACAATTCTACGACCTTATGAAAAAACGTAATATAACATCTTCACGTAAAAAATTATTATTATTGCATATCTCCAATTGTTAATTAGAAAAATAATCATAAAAAAAGTACTTACTGGTAACAAAGCAAAAACAAAAATCATAATAATAATAAAAAACATAAAAAAAATAATGACATCCGTTAATCATATAATTTTTTCATCATATATTTTAATACCTGGTAGGGTATTTCGTCTGTCGACACTACCACACATATTTATCATTGATGACTTGCAACCTTTCTAGTGCTTTAGATATTTGTCAGTCTATCTCTACAACGATTTCAATTGACTTGTAGTTTGTTTCTCTGATTTGTTTGATATCACGTTTAGGAACCGTGAGTGTAATGATGTGCATTACATAGAAGTTTAAGATTTCACGCAATTGAAAATGTCAAACACGTATCAGCAGCCTAATACGTCTATCTGTATAGAATATCACTAAACAGTCAGTGAATGTTTTCGTTGCTGCCTATGTGAATTTTCATATGTAAAGCGATTTTTATTTTCCATAAATCAGTGAAAAAAGAAAAAAATTCTCTCAAAAAGTTATTGTAAATTGATGGCAGTTATTATAATTTGATGGAATATATTCTGGCTAATAAAAATGTATTCAATTACTGCATTTTTAATTAAATAAAAGACAATTTAAAAGTTTTCATTAAAAATTTGATGAAACATTATTTGAATAAAAAGTTGGAAATATCCCGTTTCAACTGGCTTCAAAATTCTCTGCTGAGTTAACCTGTCGTCCTATTGGCACGTGTCGGCTAATATGAACAAATTCTAAATATAACAACAATTCTAAATATAAACATAAAAAAAGATAAAGCACGATGCCAACGAAAAATTCTAAATAATAATATATGTGTGTCACAAAATAGCAATTATAATATGCAAGAAAATAAATAAAATCCCACGAAAAATATTCTATGTAATATGTACACCGCCAAAGCATAATTGCTTCGCTGTTCATTGTGTTTGCTTATGATAACCTATTTATATAAAAGCTTGTAACAGAGCGACCCTTAATATTATATCTTGGATATCTTCAACCTCCTTTATTCAACAGATGTAACATCGTAATCGGCAAACAGAGGCCTAATTTCTTTTAGTTACCAATTTTATGATGAAAATATTAGGTACTGAAGTTTTAATGTTCATACTCACTAAAATGACAAGGGCTCAATTCATTATTCCGCTTGCGCAAAAAATCCTAGTGTGTGTAATCCTGACGAAAGCGACATACTGAGTTCGCTTAGAGATAGGTAACCAACACTTTCCATTGTAGTGCGATTTCGAAGATCGGATTCAAGCCACCACGAGATCCTATGACATAATAAATTAAAGTCAGCCCAAAGAATATTTTAATATAATTATTTTTTTTTTTTTACTAAGGTCTACTTATCAAACTTTGTTTTTGAATAACTGAATTGTTTCAATGGGTCTAGAGTCAATTTTCAAGATTGGAACAGCATGCACATCCAAAAGTATTTGTGATATGTCTCACTATATAGGATATGTATATGTATACATATAAATGAGGTTTAATTATGGACAGAGATTTGATAAATACATTTTATAAATTAAAAATTCAAAACTATCTGATTTCTTTTCTTTTAATGAGTTCAGAATTTAACATAGAGGTCTCGATAGTTATGCTTTTTTTTTAAGTAACAGACAAGACTTATATTGCAATTAGACACGGCCTTTACGTGAAAATGAGTGGCAAAGAGAATATTTAAGAAAAAATTTATATTGAAAGTTTGAAATTTCACACATGCACGTATAATTTAAACGCGCACGTATTAAATGTCTTGCAGTAAATCACTAATGATTTGTTATAGAAGGGAACTTAATTAATAATACTTTAACCATTAATATTTCTCTAGAGAATAAATGAATAACTTTGTCTGTAGAGGTAACAAAAAAAAAGAAGAAAATATTATAAAAATTAACACAAAAACGTGAGCAACGTAATCGCTTAAAAATAGTTTAAGAAAGCACTTAGGATATAGAAAAGAAGAACAACAAAATATTATTCTACACATTATTAAACAAAAACGTTTAATTTGGTGGTCATGCATGATTTGAGCGTAACAATTGTGGAAGAGCACACCAAACGTTTAAGTCGCAATTTGGCTTTAACACAAACCCGTCGACGCACTATAACCTTTGAAGAGCCGCCCGGAGAGCAAAATATTCAAAATTCTTTGATGGTGAAATCTAATAAACCAAAAACAATTTGCTCCACATTAACGACCGAGAAAGCTTTGAGACCCATAAAAAATCCTCAAAATTCTACAGTTACCACAACGACCGTGGCAGTGCCTTATAAAAATTTTCAAATTTGGACCGATTACGATAAGGATCAAAATCTTTTACTGCATATAAAAGAGCGTAAAGAAGCGGCCGATCAAAAAGTTTATAGAAATATTTGATATTCGAGTAATGAAAGAGGAAACGAGTGCAAGAAGAATGATAAAGTCTCCAAATTAATAATAGATTTAGATTGAAAATTAAAAAGTATTACAAATTATGTAAGTACTAAAATTATATCTTAATTTTGCTAATAATTTCATATTCTAAGCACTTTGACACTTTGCGCTGAATTATGTAAAAGGTCATGTTTTCTTAGTATTTGTAACGTACATAAATTGTTATAAGTGCTTTTTCCTTTGCGAGCAGTTCCATTTTTTTTTAACTACCTCAGGAAAAAAAAAGATATATCATTAAAAATTCATGGTTATTTATTACAATTTTTTTTTTTTTTTTTTGTGGAAATATTTTTCCTCCTATCTTCGAATAGGCTTTATGCAAATTTTGACCTCTTGGCTTGCAAATGACCAATTTTTGAATGAAGTAAATGTCTGTGACACATTACATGCCCTTTGAAATTGTTTAGTCTATTGGTGCGACTTTTTATTTAGCTTATAGAGACACTTTCATATGCAAATTGTGGAGCACTAAAGCTGTGCTAATAACATTTGAAGTACATTTAAATACGTATTATAAAGATTATGCATATGTGATATGTAATCAGTTTTATCGTAATGACTTTTTTTTATCAAATAAACTCAAACAGAGAGATAAACTAATTTTGTATACAATAAAATAAACAATATTCCGCTTATTTATTTAAATAATCTGTTATCAAAATCGACAAAATGCGTGTTTTTGTGCTGACTTCATAACCAGTACATTATCTTACATTCGATGTGAAGCCATTTTTTTTTTTTTTTTGTTTTCTTATAATTTAACCTTTCCAAGATGTGCTATTTTTATAGTGAAAATAACCCTTTGGCTTAAAAATACACCATTTGAAGTTGTTGAAATATAAGTAACCTATGTTTCTGTTTTAACAAATAAAATTAATTTATCTGAAATTTTAGTAATAGCAGTTCCAAATTTTATTAACAGATATGAGATTTTCAAACAAAGCTTCTCTCGTCGCTCTTCAATTCATAATAACTATTTTATATTTGTTCATTCCTTTGACAATTGAAACCGCCTTGACTGCCTTAGCAAAAATAAAGCTGGCATATTCAGCTATTGCCCATCATTTCGTTCAAGATGTTCCAACCTTATCAAGTCAACGTATAAGTAGCAACTTACGTAGGAAGAACTCGATAAAATCATCCCGTTAATCTGAATAACACAAGATTCGGATTTATTTTTTTGTGTGTTTCAATATTGTACGTATGTTTTCAATTGATATCGAATCAGAAAATGCAGTCCACGATTTACGAATTTCTGTTCATAGCCTAGCATTAGTCCGTACCGTCTGATTTTCGACGAAGAACTTCTCATTTTCAGTTCATTAAGTTTCAATCAACGATTTCTATTGCCTTCTTCTAGGCAATTGACGACTACTTATATATTGATGACTTCTTATTACTAGTTGCCAACTTGATAGTTTTAGCTACTTGTTTCAAGCAGGCACGTTCGATTTTCAATTCAATTCAAAATTCAATTCAGAAAATTCATTATATATCTAGTTTATTAAGAAATACATGTCAAGACGCACTTATGCAGTAGTTAAGATTCATCATCTTTCTTTTCCGGATTACTAGTCACACTTATACATTCCAAATCCGATCGTCTTTGGCGGTTCATTACAACTGCTACTTCATTCCGAGCATCTTCAATTGACGCATCTTTACTTTTTTTATTATTTTCAACCACAAGGCTTATCATATTCAGTTAAGAACTTCCGGCTCATATTTGATGACTTGTAATTTGCTATTGGTAAACGCCGACTTTTGATTGCGGTTTTGCGGTCTGATTTTCAATCGCAACTTCTGATTATACACTACACCATTTGTATATTGAAGTTATGCTTATATATATACCACCTGGAAGAACTTAAGATAAACCCATTTTTTATTATACCGATCTGATATTAAAAATGAATCAGATCGGATAACTTTCATCAGCACTCCTCCTTTATCACCTTGTTTTGGGCAACGTTCGTTTGTATATATATCACAAAAATGGACGGATGTCTATATTAGGTGAAATAGTTTAGGATATTTAGGGGTCGACAATAATGTTTTTATTTGTTTTTAATTGACTACTTAGGGCATTATACTGACAATTTCTGATACTTGTCGATTAACCTATAATTTGTATTTGGTTTCACATTGGATTCCGGGTTTTTCAGTTGTGGCGTAATTTTGCTTAAATTTTTCTAGTTTCAAAAATGTAATGCTATGTTATAATAACATCCTTCAATTATGCGCACAAAGCAGCCAAGAAATATTCGAGATATTCCAAAAATATTATTCCTTTCATAATGATTTTGACTAAGTTTAAAATCAAAAAGTGTGGTTTTGTATAAATTTCCTTCGTTTGTTAGCTTTTAAAAAAGAAAATATAAATATCGTGAGTTAATTCTGCATCATTGGAAAAGTAAGTTGACTGTTACTGCTACTTTTTTTCACACACAGGGTCATTCTTCATCCCTTTATTACTTCGCACTACTGATAAGACCTCATCTATATATTTTTTTTTCTTTTTTTTTTGTGTATTTAAGGTTTAAATATTTATTGCTATTTTGCAAGTGTTTCACTTAAAAACAATGTACGAAAACCTTACACGGCTTTGTCCGACTCATGGATTCCACATCACATGTAGCACCTTTTTTTTGTTTTTTTTTTTCGTTGAGGCTGTACCAGTTCACAAGCGTAACTTTTATTTAAAGTTACAAAATCATTTCCATGATTTTAATTTTAAAAAAAATTTTTTTTTTAATGCTCTCTTCTAATTACGGGAAATAAAATCTTAACTGAAAATGCATTCAACTTTCTCTCTCAAATTCGACGACGTTGAAAGCCCATGCAACGTATGGGACGATGGATGGATTACTAGAAGTGAATAAAACACGATTAGAATTTTTTATCAATCGCTTTTTTAAAATGCGTATCTGCGCGTTACAAACGGGAAGACAAAGCTTACACCCATTTCTAAGGGATGAGAGTAAAAATTAATTCAAAAACTTTTTAAAATTTTTTTAGATAAAACAAACACAGCAGCAGATAAATGAACACAGGGTCATTGTTAAGGTTAGCCATGGAGAAATGTATTTTTGTTGTTGCTTTTCGTAAATTGTTTACCTTTATAAATAGCCGGCATTCTAGAATGGGGATCTCTTGAGTACATATTAATATTTGTAATTATTTAGTTATTTATGGTTTTAATTATTTACAGAGTGTTAATAGGATTGTCAAGGAGCTTTCAAGACAGTACATTCATCTAATAATTTGCAGCGTATGCGTAATAACATTAGGTGAATATTCCAACTGAAATTGTATAAAAGGAGATACAATATAAATAGAAAATATCTTTAGAAAATTATATCGCATCATGCATGTACTGTATTATATTCTAACCTATTTGAAATATGCAGGCATACAAAATGATAAAAAATACTTCTATACTACTACTACTACTACTACTACTGCTATATATTCTTCCTATCTGTCTGATAATTTGTGGATGCCACGTCAAAGAAATTGTTGCTCGTTTAAAGCAAACCAGTCATTGAGCCATTTTCGTGCACTTTCGTAAGAAGTGAGACGCTACTCAGCAAATGCGTATTCCATCGGTACAAACAAGGGGTAATCGCTTAGACACGAGTTTGATGCATAAGTTAGATGAGCTGGTACTCCCAATTGAAAGCTTCCAATATATCGCGAACCTTTTTTTCATATGGATGCCATTTTAAAAAATAACCTTGTGTTGTCTTACTTTTTATTTCGCTCATATTTTGCACAATAAACGGTTCAAATCCACTAAATGTAAACTCTTCACCAGACTTTAACAGATGATAACATATCACACGTGCGCTTCCTGCAAAAGCGATTCAGTTTCACAATCGATGTTGGTGGTACGGTTGGACCTAACCCTGAATTTTTACGTTTGGGATTTTCGAAATATACCCTACTCTAATTCCCAGTTAGAATGCGAGGCCAAAAAGACCATTTTGTATATCGGTCGGGCGAAGAACCAAAGCTGTCGGCGAAAGTTCTTTATTTGGTACAAAATACGTTTCCTTTATTAGAAAAAAATATTTTTAAGTTGACATTACAACTACTTATTAGTTCTAGATGTCTAAACTATAAAGAAATCGTAACAGAAGAGATGTGTGTCCTGTTACAACCATCTATGCGAAAATTTAGGTTTCATATTAATATTCCTTATCATGTATGCATTTTCGTCCGACTTCACCATCTTATTCTGTACATGACTTATTGTATAGGCTATATTAAGTTTGTGCTGACGTAAGTAACACCTGCAGAGGCTTAAGATAAACCCGTCTTTTACCGAATCAGATTCATTTTCTGAAGCTCCTCTATTCGTCTGTTCATCTGATGTCTGTTCATCTATTGCTTCGTGCAACCTACAGGTCGTCACTTCTTGATATATTTTGATGAAATTTTGTAGACTGACTTGCCTTGATCAAAGGATGAGGGCTAAAAAGCGCTGAAAATAGTTCAGAATGGTCCACCTTTTCACCTTTATGTATTAGATCCATAATATATTTACTTGAAGTTCTATTCAAGTAAACTCTCTAGTGTCTAACACGTCAAAACGGAAGCTCTCTTCACTTCTGTCTTCCATTTTCTCTCTTATTTCTTTAGACAACTCCTTTTATTACTTTCAGCCATATCCAATATTGATATAATTTTACTTATTTCACACAAGTAGTCTTGTTTTGCTTTTTCTAATGGTCGACATATTTTGTACTCATATTTCTAAAACTATCCAAACCTTTTGGCAGTACATCTTATGCGGTTTTAGTCAACATTTAGTTGAAGTTTTCGAATAGTCTTCTACGTTTTTTGAACGTAGCTTTAGAAACTTTGTGGATATATCTTAGCAGTCAGAAATGATGATCAGATCTTTATGAGCAATGAGCAAGGAAGACAACCTTTTTTTGATTTTGAAAACAAAGGTGTCCTCGGATTAATGTTTTTTCGAACGATTTGTACCACTTTCATATACAAGGCTACCAAATGTGAAGCTGCTATCTTAATTTTTGCGATCGGGATGGTATATATCGCAAACAGATGAGCAACGGAACAAACGGTAATGGCTATATCGATCGACAATTTGCTAGAAGGTGTAATATATTCGATCTCTAAAGCTTCCTTCTGACCGCTGCAAGCAAATACATCTCTCAGTTTCCTTTGTGACGTATTTCTAATTATCAAAATGTACAGTAGATCAATGAATTAATTGTAATTTCTTACATAATCATTTTTAGGGCATTCCTGAAAATATTTGTTTCAAATATTAGATCAATATATATCTATTGAGGTTAAGCGGTTATTATTATTCATCCCAATTATGGCGGTCTATACTAAAAATACTACCGTGAAGTTTCCGACGTTGTTTAGTTTTTTACTATCAGTGTATTTCCCCACTCAACGAACACTATTGTGTCAAATTAAAATTTTACGTTCATCATTTTCTCTTTGTTTTTTTTTTATTTTTCTATTTTATTTTATCCAAACGTTTGCAATACCCGGTAAAGTATAAAAGGCATAAAGTGGAAAAATAAAAAGTATTGGTATCAAATACTGAATCGATTTTAGCACCTCAGTTTGTCCGCCTCTGTAATGCATGCGTTAAACATTTGCAAAAGCAAAGATATCGCGGATTTTATCGAACATATCGCAGATTCTTGGATGCGGATTGGTATTCAAAATGAGCTAATCAAGTTAAAGCACACCCCCAACGTTATACAACATAGAATTTATTTTTCTTTTGTATTGTTTTTAAGAAAAAATTTGGTGGGTATGAAAAATTCAGTCATATAATATTCTTATATGTTTTTTTTCCAGTGCAACCAAATTTTGTTTGCCTTATAATAGCGTAAACACTGTAACAGTGTGCGACATTGCGATTTGTAAGGTTATACATTTTTAGCAGTTATTCAATCATTTCTCGCTGTGTTCATGACACTAGCTCACACATATTTATCCTTCAACTGTTCCTTATCGCTTGCATAACCCTATAAACAAATGTAAATATTTGTTCTTTACTTTCATTCTCTGTCTTTACTTCTTTAAAGTTTACTTTTTACTTTCGTTAGCAACTTTTACGAAACAGATATGCAAATGTTTACATACAATTTTACCGATCCATAATTGAGCTCGAAAGTTTCGTTTATCTTCCTTCTATAAAAACAAGATATGTCAAACGTTTCACAAACGTTTTGCATACAACGCCAAAATATGTAAGGTTTGCTATAACACAGAATACAAACATAACAAGATAAGACCTGGTCTTTAAAGTGCCTACTTTTTGCTTTTTTTCTACGTCTCCATTAGCTGATTTGACCGGTGAATCGAGGTGAATCGCTAATGCTTTTACTCTATCTCGTTAAGAATTATTCCTCGCCTAGATACCCTGACCTCGTAGCCAATAAGTGTTATTAATTAGTTTCTTTAAAAGTTGAAATGGCACCTTTTCTAATATATTTTTTTAAACATTTGCTCAAGCCTGCAATGTTTTTACACTGCCGTTAAAATTAAACAAACTTCAGACATCTTTAGCAAATTAATCTAAAAACTTTCGACAAAATTGTTAATTTTTAAATTTACTTTTACAGATGTCGCCATTTCTAGTATTTTAAAGCTTTTTAAATTTAATACCTCACCCTCCTCACTTTTACATCACGCATAGCTATGAAGTCACCAACAAAAGAATCGCTTACAGAAGGTATTGTGAGACACACAAGTTCTTTATTGGAAGAATGCAACCAATCTGGAATTGAAGTTCAACAGATTAAAGAGGAAGAGACGCAGATACCCAAAACTAATGCGAGATCTCAAAACAGTTTTGAAGACACTACTTTGTTAGAAAAAGCAACTACGACAAAACCTACTAACTTAGTTCTATCACGCAGTCAAGATGATGATTATATTGAGAACGCAATAAAAGAACAATACGATCGAGTCTCACCAATTTATTATTATTCCTCGACACGCGGTCCTTTAAGTTCAACAGGAGCAACGCGAGCGAATAAATTTCGTTCACGATTTCACAAAAGTCACACATGTGGTAGTTTATTTGCTAAATGCAATTGTGACGTCAGTAATGACACCCCGCTGGCAACAGCAATAGAATACGTTGATCGAAAAAATAGCTCACGTGCTCCATCAATTGAAAACGACGCTAACAGCGGTCTTTATATCTTAAATACGGCAGCAACAACAACAACAACGAAAGCTACTGTACATAAACAACCGCAGCATTCATATCATCTGTCAATTTCACCGTCTTCGAACACCGAGCTTTCGTTAGCATCGGCAACATCAGCATCAGATAAATGCTTTAGTTCGGGTTTCCATTCATTTTCTAGCCAAACCTCATCGGCTACATCAGCTTATCTGTCGCGAGATGAGAGCTTAAATACTAGTTTCGATGGAGGTAAAAGTGACAACAACAACTTTTCTAAAAATTCTCAATTACTCTCACCTACTGATAAATCAGGGACAGAGAGCACCAAAAGTACAACCGTCATTGCTGTTAAGACCGCTGATTGCGGCAGTCATAATACGCAAATAACTAAACCGACTGTCAGTACAGAGCAGAATGCTCTTAGCTTAACACAACAAGCCCATAAACAAACGGTTCCACGGATCTCATCACCTTGTTTAGGTCAAAATAAATTCCTGATCTCACCCAAGCAACGTAAATCAGAAATTTGCCATAAACAACTAAATAAAAGACTATTTCAGTCTTATTCTCACCCCGATACAAGTTTCATATTTACCGATCAAAATAAACATCCTCCGCGAGAGTCATTAGTGCAACAGCAAAACGTAGATCAGATTATCACTACGCGTGGTGGTAAGATTGAAATTAAGCAACCAAAGCGTTCATCATCACCCAACATAGGACAGGTACTGGATGTAGCGGTACATCCGGACATATTAGTGAAAATCTCTCCTAAGCATTCCCCATTAAGTGATAGTAGACGGCAACGTTCACCTTTAATTTTGAGGTCAACACAGCAAAGGCGCCGCCTTTTGCAGAGATCACATGAAATTGATTCCGGCGGTTCTACTTCAGAATCAGAGAAATCGGTGGATATTAAATCTCCAACGAAAGATCAGGAAATTTCTTCTACTAAAGACGAGACAGATTTTTTTGCTGCCCACAAATATTTTGCTGAAAGCGGTATTCTGGGACCTTTGAACACCACATCCAAAAATTTACTGAAGAAAACTTCAAAAATTCTACAGGAATCAAATGTCATCGAACAAGTGAGTGCAAACTGTAGACATAAGTCAATAAGTTTTTCTTTTTATGTTATGAAAAAACATACAAACATACAAAGTCGATTAATTTTTTACTTTAATAAAGGATACAAAAAATTCTGATTTTATTCATTCTATAGTTACGCAAAACTTCGATGATTTTACGAACAAACAACCCAAACAATATCAAGAGAACACTATCTGTTTCGCAACGAAGTGAAGGTACCCCTCAAAATCCTTGCACAACAACGCCTTCACTCATTACTACCACTACATTTTCAACAACTGTACCAATATCTCCTAGCAATCTGTCTGCAAACGATACACATAACTTTCCGACAGCAAAAAGCTTTACATTAAAATTGCAAACTAATGCAAATATAAAGACCGCGACGGATACTGTCGGATCATCGTCTGCACCATTTTCGGAATCTGCTGTAATAGAAACCTCGCCACAATCGCCGCATACTATGGCCACCACCTGTGGTTTCAGTCCAAATTTAACCACTCAAAGTTGCATACCTATTGACGACAAAGACGCCCAAATCAAGAATTTGTTAGGGGAAATTGTCTCATTGAAGGATGTCATTAAATCACGGGATTCTGAAATTGTGAAACTCCGACGAGAAATTCATAAATTAAAAGTGAGTTACGAAATATAGAGTTAAGCAAATAACGTATGAATACAATGAAATATCTTCTTTTTTCGCGAGTATAATATTGCTTTAGTTTATTTTTGTCAATTCTTTTTTTTTCTTTTTTTTTTACTTTATTTCTTTATAAATATTTAATTAAATATTTCACACTTTTGAGCTCCGCATATTTTGTGTTAATTTCTGTTATGTGAAATAATAGCAAGATATATGTATATGCGTATTTCATGTATTTATACTCTAGCGAAGGGCTATACGCAGAGAGTGAGAAATACAGAAAAACAACAAAATGAGACAAATAAAACCAGTATGCTTGCCTTGAATCTTGGATACCCACCATCTCGCGTAAATTGGCAAGGACTGTAAAAACATTTTTTTCATTGCCGTCATGTGGGAGGACCAATGCATACTTTTCAGTTGGCCCGAACTTTTTATACGCTTACTCTCGCATGCACGCAATTTTTATACAAATACTTGAATAAGGATGCATAGAATGCAAAAATATGTAAGGTTTGCTATAACACAGAATACAAACATAGCAAGATAAGACCTGGTTTTTAAAGTGCCTACTTGCTTTTTTTCTACGTCTCTATTAGCTGATTTGGTCGGTGAAACGAGGTGAATCGCTACTGCTTTTACCCCATCTTTTTAAAAGCAATGCAAAATTTAAATGTAAATATACTTTTTCCCAAGTAGGTCCACTTGTTTAGTTCAAAGATATTTTCACATTTTTGCCCATTTTTTATACATATATAATAAGGCTTCTTAACGTCCTTAAACAGATTCCAGTTTCTGCTATGATCTCATTATTTGGTTCTAATCTTTTTTCTGAAACATCCTTTTGGGATTTGCAAGCAGACGATTGTACCTGGGGACCAGAACTGAAGATAACAATCGACGTATGCGTTGTACCATTGTGAGTGAACGCTGCACCTCTTTCGTAAAGAGCTTTTCCAGGTCCAAATTTGTATGCAAAATAACGAAAGCTTTGCTCTTTCATACGTATTCTATGTTTTGCAATAATCACTTATCAATTATCGAGACCAATTTTCGAAATTTTTTTTATGTCTTTTGCAGTAAGAAGACTTCAAGTTCAAATGGCATGGTTTAATCGAACCTGGGATTTTCTATTTCTTTCAAAGTTACAAATATAGCGTTACTAAGAAAGCAACATGTCACGAGACACAATTCTTCGTTAAAGGTGACATCTATATATCAGCATTAAGAATTGTTCATCGATTTGTTACATGTTTGTGAATAAGGTCTATTTTAAAGCCCAACTTTTGTAGCTGAACCAATGAAATACATGCCAATTTTAACCATTTTATCTAAATATATATCCATATGCGAGTTATGGTAATAGGCAAACAGACGAAAAACACTCTATTAAAATCCTATGATTATCAAGAGTATATATACAATTTAGAATTTGTAGAATGTACTTCAAGATATTACTAGACTGACAGCCTTCCACTCTTCCTCCTAAGTATGCAAAAGTTTTATGCAAATAGTACGAGGAAATAGCTAAAAGTAATTAAAAATTCGAACGATTGAGATTCAGTTTATGACAATCTATTGACAACCCGATATAGAAAGTTGCTTGAATGATTGGGCCAATGTGAAATATTTTCTATATAAAGTCATTTGACAATTCAAGCGAATATATAAAATCAGATTATTAGTTTTTCATATGCAAGCTGAACAGGTGTGACATTTAAGACAACGAACTTTGTTTTGAAAAGTTTACTGGATTATAACTTACAAATTTGTTGGTTAGACGAGAGCGTCAAGTCTATTTGGCGCTAGCTGTGCGGTCATTGGAGAAAGCCTGAACAGATTTTCACCTTTCTTTAATGCAAGTGTCTAATTCGCGGATATTTTGCTAAACGAGCTTGGCTAAGTCAACTTGCAATTTCATTCTAACGTATATTTTGAATACATTGTTATCTTTCGACGAAATGTATATATGTTCTTAATCCTCATGAATTCTCCGTTTGAATACTGATTAGAAAAAAACGATTTGAGCGATTTGAATCAGAACTATTTGAAAGAAAAAGTATTATAAAATGTATTAGCATCTATTTATATACAACTCTACACACATTGACATAGTTGAACTTTTTTGGTGACGTCATACTGTGATTGATTTAGAAACAATGTATGCATTAGAGATACTATTCCTCTACAATAAACATTATAGACGATGTGGAACGGTCTTTAAAAAGACTCCTTTTTAAAAGCAAAGCTTATTGCTTTAGCATTTTCAATGAATGAATAAATTTCTCCTTGAATTGTAAAACTTTATTTACTTATTTTTATTGTCACCAATTCTTCTCTCTTCCCTTATCCGCTCTGACAGGAATAGGTTCGACTTAGCAACTGTTTGATCGGCAAAATTATCTTCCTTATGGATATGTTCCCGAGTGGCATAATGAAATCAAAATTTCGTTTTTCATCTGTTTCTCTGTCTCACTGTCTATTATAAGAATTACAACTTGGTTTAGAACGTCGAATTTATTAACTTATATTCTATTTTCTCCTATCTACGATTACAGATCGGCCTATTTGCTGGCCGACTTTCGTGTGAATCGAAAGATAGAAAAACTATTTTAGTAAGTTATTCTGTTCGCTTCTGCAGATGTTAGAGGAAATCTGTTAAAACATTTCTTTCTTTTAGGAACTTGATTCTCTTTTTTTGCAATTAGAGGCACATTGTACACCCTACCCTACAGTACTTCGCTTAATGCAGTTAGTTAATCGGTTTGGTAATGATGCACGAAAAATTACACATTGTTTCCATGCAAAGACAGACTTTTCATGAAAGCCTACTTAGTGGAGGATGCCCAAAATATCACAAGATGTGATCTAAATTTACGAAACCTAAATTACTTCCCACCAATTTTCTTATTTTCCAGTTTCCTTCATAAAAACCTAGAAACTAGACATTCTGCCCATATAGGGGATTGCTTTTCATGATAAAATTTACATATAATGGTGTCTAAAAAATAAACTTACGTAATCCACATTCTGTATCATGAATTTTTTTGCTAAATTGCTACTCTGGACCAATTTTCATCCTAAAATATTAAAAATTAAATCTTTTTCTGAAGGGCTTGTTATTCCTGTGGAATCTTATATGGAGCAAAGTCCAAGAAGTAGACCTCTATGTTTCAAATTTCACTTAATAGGAATGGTTATATGAAAAGGGATGCAACAAATCTCTCAGCCGATTCAAGGTTTTCACAGCAGTTTAAAATGCCGAAAGACTACTACCCAGCTGTTTTGGTTGAGAATTTTTAAAAGCTTTAATCTTTTTACATATAACCAATCTTTAAAAAAACAGCGTTGTATGGGCAGTGGTCCAGTAATTCTGTCCGCTTGTTCGTTTGCCCGTTTGATATGTATCCATGCATTTTTCTGTTCAAGCTATAGTCCGCACTTTTTGAAATATTTTGATAAACTTTGGTACATTGACGTGGTTTGACCCAACGATGAACGCTATTTGAGATTGTGTGAATTTTCCGACCACTCCCCATATAACGCTCTTCTCTAAAAAGTCATTACATGGAAAAAGATTGTAATTTTCAAAATTTCTCGGCAAAAGTGGCTAAATAGTAATATTTCTCTCCTCTCTATTGGCAGTCTAAATTGGTATGAAAACTTTAGACCGGCTGGTGCAATTTTTGAACCCCTCTCATATAATGAAAACTAAAGTTCTTACGACAAAAAGGTATAACATTCAACGCTCCATTTTGAAAATTATATTATAATAGTAATCTAACATAAAAAAATGAGCTGTTCCAAAGTGGGACCATCCCGGTCTATTTTTTGGATCCTATCCTAATAACGATTCTCACGGAAATTGATCCTTTGTAGAGCAGAAAAGTCTAAGTTTAAACATATAGTGATCGAAATATTATAGTAATTTCATACAAAAATAAACTCTACAAAATTTAGACCAAGTACGCCTGTTTTTAGACCCTACCTTATCCAAGAAATAAACTTGTGCTACATTCCCATAAATACGCTTTTGAAAAATTTGCCTTTATACAGAAACAGGATATAGTTTTTGTGTTCTGTAATAAAAATAAAAATTGTGTTAGAAAACGTGGTGTAGCGTATTTAATGCTCGGCCTTGCCCGCCTGCAATGTTCTCACTTGTTTTCTGAATTGAGCGGTATTATAAAAGATTAGTCTGTGTGTCACTTAGGTCCGCACGAACTTAATACATACCATTTGTGCTACAGGGTATAAAAATATGAAGGGAGAAAAGGAAAAAATGTTTTTTTTATTTCTTACTAGCGCCATGATCACTCTGCAAAATGGGCTTAAAAAACCTACGAATAAAGAAGCAAATAGACACATCCATTAAAAACGTTTGAACGTAGCTTAAGTATGTGTTGATGAATGATAAAATTAGTGCAACGCTTTGTTGATGGCTGGAAAAGTTACCGTTATTACAAAACCAGTTTCCTACAATCTTCCTCCCTCTCTTCATATATACCACATAAGAATGTATATATTATTCACAGTGTTTTTTAAACTTTTTTCTTTACTCTTGTCTCCTCTCTTTCTTTCTCTCTCTCTCTCTCTCTATCTCTCTATCTCTATTTATTTGCTATAACTTATTTATAATTACAATTGAAAGCTAGAACAGACAGGTCTGAACAGATCTTATAAAGAACCCGAGGTAAATAAATTTTTGTAAACTAAGCTAAAAAAAAATATTTTAAATAAATTCATTTTGGAATTTCTACTTGTATGATAAATGCGCGCATTCATTTTCTTAGATTATAATTACGCCAGATTGCACTGAATATAAAACAAGTGCATTATCTACCGGTGGCCACCATGGGTTTACTAATGAAAGTTCGTAAGATTCAATTAATTTTTCTTAGAAAACATGCTCTCATGAAATTTTGTTTGACAAATAAAAGATTATTTATTCTATTCACTCGATTCATTTTCTTTACAATTGGAATTAAAAAAGAATATTTATATTTACTTGGAAAAATATCTTAAGCATAATATATAAAACTAATTTCAGTGTATATATTTATAAGCTAAGCACTACTCACACATAATTAATGCCGACCCATTACCTTTCTTCTTAAGACTTACTAATGTTTCTATTTTTGTTGAAAGTTTGAAATGTTTTCTGAATTTGTTTTCTCTATTTCACCCCTTCATAGAGTGTCTTACAACAGACTACGAATCACCTGACGATAGCCAATGATGAACTGTTGCAACCATCTTCACCACCTGCGCATATTTTAAATCATTGTTTTATGACTCGAGCGACGAACGTCTTCGCCAAACTATGCGAAGATTGTAAAAAATGTATCGAACATTCTTCATCCATTCACAGCACTCCATCACTTGATAATTTCAATTCCCAGATAATGTTCATAGATAACGATAAGCGAACTTCCGTAGATATCGCCTTAAAGCATACCAATTTCACAGCTTCGTGTAGTTTTATTTCGGCAGAGAATGAGTTTAAAAAAAATTATTCCTCTAACGATCTCACCAAATATCAGGTGAAGACAAAAATATCTTGCATTCCTCCACAAATTCAGCAACCGTTGTTGCTCAAAAAGCAAGGGGTCTCCGGAGAAAGCTTAGAAACCTCTATGCAACAAAACATGAATAATACACCGATAGTTAAATACGATAAAGATTACAGCAGTAAACAATTGATTAAAGGCGCTATAATGGACAATGATTTCCTTAAGAATATAGATGCTTCTCAAGTCAAAGAATTGGTGGATTCAATGTATTCACTTACTATAAACGAAGGCCAATTCGTTATACGTGAAGGTGACGTGGGTGCCCATTTATATGTGTCGGCTGAAGGGGAATTCGAGGTAGAGAAAAATGGGAAAATTTTAGGTATCATGGGACCTGGAAAAGCTTTTGGAGAATTGGCCATACTATACAATTGCACACGTACTGCTTCTATACGCGTACTGTCAAATGCTCGTGTTTGGGTTTTGGATCGACGTGTATTTCAACAAATTATGATGAGAACTGGCATGCAACGTATCGAGAATAGCGTTAATTTTTTGAAATCTGTTCCTCTCTTAAAAAACCTAAGCGAAGAACTTTTGACGAAAATAGCCGATGTTTTGGAAGTGGTATGTATATAAAATTTATATTCGTTATTAATTAAATATTACGTATTTATTTTTTATTTAGGAATTTTATTCTTCCGGTACTTATATTATACGTCAAGGTGCTAGTGGTGATACGTTCTTTTTAATATCCCAGGGAATGGTTAAAGTAACTCAGAAAGTATCGGGAACATTGGAAGAAAAGGAAATTCGTATTTTAAGAAGTGGCGATTACTTCGGCGAAAAGGCTTTAATAAATGAAGACAAACGCACGGCAAGCATTATTGCATTAGAACCAGGTGTAGAGTGTTTAACTTTAGACCGTGATTCGTTTAAGCATCTAATAGGAGATCTTTCTGAATTAAAACAAAAGAATTATGGTGATGAAAATCGGGCCTTGGCTATGCGCTATGCTGAAAGGACCAAAGAGATCTGTAAAGCGAATGCTAAGCAAGGTAAACTACAAGCAACGTTTTAGCAGATTTTTGAACGAAAGTATAAGGTATTGAGTCAAACTATAAAGAACCGTGCGCACATTTTTTATTTTGCTTTATAGCAAAAATATTGGCTATATAGCCTGTAGGTAAAATGAATTCGCAACCGTTATCTTTCTAAAGCACATTTCCCCATCCCAATACGCTGGGAATTAACTTCGATAAGCGCAGTTCCCTTTAAGTTTTTCGGATAACTTAGTTTAGTGTTCAAGAAACGGACGGAATTTCAATCAATTGTTTCAATCACGCGAACGCACAATCACATCCCGTCTCTTCAAATCGAAAAAAGTTCAGCGATTCATGCAACCTCTACACATCAGCGTGCCAGCGTTCATAGTTTCCACTCATAGTTGCCTACCGTGATTTTTACGCCATCGCAATAAGAACACTGCTGACCCACAATATTTTTTATATCCTAACTTCGTTTGGATTCGTTACTTACATTTCTTTATGCTTAGCCTTTGGAAACAAAGATGGAAGAAACGACGTGAATAAGTTTCTCTTCCTTGCTATAAGGATGAAACTATTATTGTATCATAAGACATAATACCACTACTTTTTTACGTGAAAATAATACCGTTAGGCTTTACGCTATACTGTGTATTATTCCGTTACAGAATAATGACATCGTTTTTTAAGCTCGCGGTACTTAATTGCGACTGCGCTTAGAGCTACCAGCTGATGCATTAGACAGAAAAAACGACCACACAATAATAAAATGATTTTTCAAACCTTCCAGGCTCGCTTCCACATGTCGATACTCGCATAGAAAATGTTAACGGCGTTGGATTCGAGTGCGCTATACTTCTCGTCTCCTTTATGTAGCATCACCTGTTACCACTTTTTTCAACCAATGAGAAAATAATTATCTGCTCTTCGATTCTTACGAATATATATAAGTATGTTCGTCCTTGCATGGCTACAATCTTGTGAAGCAATTTTTCCTGGCAAACGTTTGATTGAACTAAAAAAACAACTCATAGCCCTACTGTATTAAATCTGACTTACATGGTCGTATAAACTACAAACCGACAAAAACTAAATCTTTTTGCTTAAAACAAATGTTAGGACGAAATCGTTGATATTCTAAAAAAGCACATGACTATTAGATTCGTGTGAATGAAAAGTCACAGTTCAAATAAATATAGATGCGCAACTTTCGTCAAAGTTTTTTTGGCTTGATCACTTTGGTATTGTATACCATAACAGTTGTGGTGATAAATATGTAAATAATAGGATAGCAATATTTGGTTTTATAACACAGCGTAGTAAAATAATACACCAATTGCGACTCGTAATAGAAAATTAAAATACGATTGTGTCGAATATTGCGTTGGATTATGAATCAAAGCGGACCCCCTAAATGCAACTATTACAATAGCAAAACAAGTACTACTGTACAAGGCACACAACTGTATTCAATCGATTAATTTAAACAAGTAGTTTATAACGGATTATTAGCTAAACACATACATTTTCTTTTATGTAGAGTTCCCGAACTTAAAATTAAGTGATTTGGAAATCATTACCACTTTAGGTATTGGTGGTTTTGGCCGTGTTGAACTGGTTAAAGCTTGTCAACAGGATCGTGTTGATATTTTCGCTTTAAAATGCCTCAAAAAGCGTCACATTGTGGATACAAAACAAGAGGAGCACGTATTTAGTGAGCGTACTATAATGATGAGTTGCAATTGTCCGTTCATATGTCGGCTCTATCGAACCTTTCGCAATGAGAAATATGTGTACATGCTATTGGAAGCTTGCATGGGTGGCGAAATTTGGACATTGCTTAGAGATCGTGGATCATTCAATGAAAATACAACCCAATTTATTATCGGTTGCGTTCTGCAAGCTTTCGAGTATTTGCATGCTAGAGGAATAGTCTACAGAGATTTAAAGCCAGAAAACTTAATGCTGAATGAAAACGGTTACGTTAAGCTGGTAAGATATATCGAAAATTAAGCGAAGTACATCTCATGTAATCGAAAATTGAAAATATTTCAGGTGGATTTTGGATTTGCTAAATTTATAGGTAGCAGTAATAAAACGTGGACCTTTTGTGGTACACCCGAATATGTGGCTCCAGAAATAATACTGAATAAAGGTCATGATATGTCTGTCGATTATTGGGCTTTGGGTATTCTAATTCACGAATTGCTAAACGGAACGTAAGCACTCTATCTTCGATAAAGTAAAAAAGAGAGTAATTGTAATAGATTTTTCTTTTACATTCTAATAATAGTCCGCCTTTTACCTCTAACGATCCCATGAAAACTTATAATATCATTTTGAAGGGCATTGATATGATTGATTTTCCTAAGCATATGTCGCGAGCAGCCATTCAGCTTATTAAAAAACTATGTCGCGATTCACCTGTCGAAAGACTGGGATATCAAAAGGGAGGCATACAAGATATCAAGAAACATAAGTAAGAACTTAAATACATTTTATGCGGTAATTTTATTAAATATTTTTTCTGTTCAGATGGTTTTTAGGTTTCGATTGGGATGGTTTGCAGAATCAATTGCTTATACCGCCATTTTTGCGCCCCGTAACCTGTCCAACAGATACCAGTTACTTTGATAAATTCTCGGTTGATAGTTATGAACCACCTGATGAGCTTTCTGGTTGGGATGCCGATTTCTAAAAAGCCTTTTCTTCATCTTAAATGGTTCTATTATTATATAGGAATTAAGAGGTGGTTGTTTGTTATTCTTAAGTAAAAATTTTGGAACCAAACTTATACACCTGTGGATGAAACTTTGTGCCTTCTGCGTAGCTTTTGTTCAAATGAAACTTTTAAGAAACCAATATTTATCATTAAGTTTTAACATATTCAAAAAACGTTAAAAATATCAAAATAATAAAGGATTACGTATTATTTAGTTGTTTCGTTTGTTTGCTTGTTTTCTTTTTTTTTTTGCAATTTGCATTTCGTCCTTAAAAAAAATTTTTTTTTTTACTACGAAAGTTCTGCCCAAGAAGGAGAGATCCAAACAAGACGTATATAGCGAAAAAAGCATAGGTGGTCACCTTTGAAATGTCAGCTGCAATTATTTACGGGCGTGAAGATAACCCACCGTGTGTAGCGCAAAATTTTGTCTTTGTTAAAAGGTGAGGTATGTTAATATTTCGTGCGCATCTTTGCTAAGACAATTAATAATTGAACGGCATTGAAAAAACAAAAAGATGATTATAAAAACTAAACAAAAATAGAAACGTAAGTGAATTATAAAAATCCTACTTGAGGCCATGAAAGATGTACAATATATTTATAGTTGCCGTTTGTCGTAAAGTATATGTTTAAACATGGAGAAAAATTAAAACGTATAAACCATGTTATAAAAAATTTTAGACCCTTAATGCAATTCCAGTGTTTTGACATCTCCTAAAATTATCAGACTACGAGATCAAATGTTGTCACTGCTAAAGTTCCCCATATATCCCTTTCCCACATATCTACGTTAATTATAAAAGATTCTTATGAAGTAAGGCAATTCCAAGTTCCTGTTTGTCCTGATTGTTGAGCGTGCTTCACGACATAATAAAAAGTTGAAGCAGCGTCATATGTCGGAATAGTTTTAAACTTCCATTTAAACTTCGCACTCGTTCCATATTTGTACTGCCACTATGTTCGATAGTTAATAGCAGTAACTTAGCTTTTAGAACTTATGGTGCTAATTCTTTTATATACTCATGCTTCTTAATATTATTATTAATTTGCCCAGAGAAATAAATTTTAAACTAAAGTCTTAAAGCGCTAGCATCCAAGGCTTTATGAAAATCTCTACCGCACTTGTGGTCCGATCCCACGGCCATTGAGTCGGGTCGAGAATCTTTGTCTTCGGCTACTCAGGCGGATGTTTTTTTTTATACCCACGACAGAAGGGTGGGGATAGGAGTATACTCAGTTTAGCAGAAGCCCCAATTGGAGTGTAAATTGAACGCAACCCATTTCAACAAATATATCACGTTTGCTTTGCGAACCATTTTATTATTTATGTCCTAAAGTGGAAATAATCGACACACACAAGGTTACAAGTGATTAAATTATCTTTTTATCAGTTTTTTGAGGTTTTATGCTTATTAATCTTAAACTAAACAAGACCCATTGCTTAAAATTATTCTGTACATTCCTCAAATAAGGACATATTATCTGCCTAAAAAAGCGTTAATTCTAAAATAAATATGGTGGAGACCATAATCTATTGGATTAATTTTTTCTTAACCATACCGGCGATATGGGTACCACTAAAAGGGCTTGGAGAGCAGAATATGAAAAGTGAAGTGTGTTAGTTCTAATTTAATTGTGGTGATCGTCACGACATTGTGGACAAAATTTTTCTGAAAATTATCGTCTATATGGGTGTCATGTAAAAGGGTTTAGAGAGTGGAATGCGAAAAGCTAAGTGTGTTAATTCTAAATTAATTATGGTAGACGTCAAGACGGTGGTAGATTAATTTTCTTTACCAATGCCTTTTAGTAAAGTAAAAGGTGCAACATAAATATTTTATCCTGTCCACTTTTTTATGACAATTAGCAAAAGCAAGGAGAGCTAACGATTTCATTAGTGGCAGGTATACAAAATTCGCTTCCAGCTAAATATAACTCCCTTACTTCCTTGTAATAAAAATGAATTGTGTGTGTTTTATAAATATGTAATAAGGATTTCACTATTATCTTTTTTGCACGATTTTTGAAGACATATAGCGTTTTTTCCTCTTACTCGGTTTTTTAAAGTTGTGGAACAAATCATCAAATTTACCATACATCAAAAGTATTTTTTACACGATTTTTATGCGCGGAATTTTAAGGAGCGCGTCTACGATGTAAAAAAAAAGTTGGATCTATATTCTCCCACATTTGTCCCGGTTACTCTTTTATACCATTGTAAGTGTTATACAATGAAACGTCGGGTTGTGGGGCCGAACGCACATGAAGTCTTTGCTGGCTTATCAAGTTTTGAAACTCAAATAGATTGCATTGAAAACAATCAGTATACAAGCATACAAATTTTCAGGCATATCAAGGTGCTTAACCTTTTACTATGATACTAAATAAATAACTTTTGGTTAGCTAGCTTTCGCTTCGATGGAAAAACTTGAAAATCATTTCACCTTGCGCACTGTTCCACTTTCGTCTGTCGATATTTATTTCGAAAAAATAAGTAGAATATAAGGGGAAAAGTTGGCGACAAATAATGTTTTTTAACAAAAGTTAATGTGAGAATATTCATATTTTTTATTTCAAGTTTTAAAGTTATTTTTCAAGTTTTAAAGTTGTTTTCAAATTTATATTGTATTAAAGGATAGCCAAAAATTGAATATTAAAGATTGTAAGAAAGAAAAAAGACGCAATTGCTCGTAATTCGTCGAGAAGATGTAATCGCTACACGTTATTCTCTCATAAACCGAATCTGATATTATTTTTATACTTTTACACACCAAATCACTAGGTGTATGCAAAAATTTTGATAATTTTTACTTGGAAAAGGCATTTATTGTGGACAATTGGTACAATATATATTAATCACAATAGTTTCCATCATTTTCTATGACAGTTTACAATATTTTTGGAGATATCATGTCGAAAGAACTTATATTGGTTTGGTAGCGATCCACTCGTTGACTCATTTTCGCACTTCTTCAAATTTGCGGACCTAGCAGCCAAGCCACGCTGCTCCGATCTGAACAATTGCTAATCATGAGACGCTATGCCTGGTAAGTACGCCGGGTGTGGCAGAACTTACCATTCGAGCTGCAACAGTGTATCCTGGAAAACTCTTGCAAGGAGTGGACAAAAAATGGCATTTTCAGCCAATTCGTGTCGCCAATTTTAAACCGTTGAGGCCAAAACCGGCAATTGGAATATGATGGAGCAGCGACGGCAGCAGATTTCTTTAAATAAACAACAACAGTAACGAATTTGGAAGAAGAAGAATTTTGAACCCTCCATGATTAGATAAATAAATCAATAATATTCAACGGAAAACAATTATCTTATGTAGAGGAAAATCAAAACCATCGAATTCAACCGTTATGTACACCCCATTACCATTTTTTTAGGATTTTTACCTGTAGAATTCGGTGTTCAAAATGTTTGCAAATACCTAATTATATATATACATACTAGAAACTTCACTAATTCATGAATCAGTCGAAGTGTTCATTTGTTGTATCTATCATTAGATGATGAAGAGTATATTCATCTTGTCAAAACTTTTCCAACACCCGGAAGGAAACTTCAGAGGCCCGATTAAGTATATCTATTTTCAATTAGCATCAAAGTCTGAACTGATCTAAGCATATCCGTCTATCCGTCTATGCAGTGTTGTAAACATAGTATTAGCCGCAAAAATGGAGCTATCGGATTCAAATTTGATACAAGCATTAGAATTAAGTCTGTAAAGAAAATGAGTCAAATCAGGCGGAGGACTTGCCTACAGCACCACAATGTGCTTTAAAAAGAAAAAGAAGTTGGTTTTTTGCTTATAATCATAAACTACAACTGCCAAACGTATAAAAATGTAAAGATATATTCAATGGACGGTGCTTTAGCACCCGGAGTAAAATGGCAAAAATTTGCCATTTATATCCAATGTTATAAAGTATTAAATTTTTATTTTGTTCAAACTTTCAACATGGGAGGGAGTTTGAGGGCTGAACGATACGTTGGCTCAACGGTTACTTTTTTCCATGGGGATTTGGAGTAGCCTTAGAAGCTCGGGACGGAGCAAACCCCGCTGCTTGTGGTATGCGATTACATGGCCCCGATTTAGCGTCTTGAGCTCTCGCGCAAAACTCGGTGCACGTAATAAGGAGACATGGCCGGTCCCGGACAAACCGTGCATTTTCTCGTCCTCGCAAGACTAAATCGGATTGCGTTGGCGCAGGTATCATCCGTCAAGGTAGTCGCGACTTGAGCTTCCTGCTTTTTCACCCTGTGGGTAGTTCGGAAGTATTTGGTGGTAGGTGGTGCAGCCACTTTCAGTCTGAGGTTTCCAGCGACACCGATGTCAGTTAAAATATCGTCGTCGTTTGGAAAATGTTCATTTGAGGTCTCTGCGTATACTATGAAACAAATCGCGGAGGTTTCGGGCTTTCTTTTGCGGTTATAACTTTGGTGTTTGCCGTCAGTTGGTCGTAAAATGTGCACGGTCGGGGTCCTTGGATAATATATGCTGTTGAGTAGCCGTTGGAGTCTGATGCTGCAGGGTTCACAGCGAGTGTATTCTAGGAAAGATTTTTATTCCACATGGCGTGTTTCTCAAGAAAATATTGGAAAATTTTTGTTTTGCTGATTCGATATACTCTTTCTGTCAGGTTTACTCGTGCGATATACTATAAAGTGAATTGATGCTCTACCTCGAATACCTGTAGGTGACTCTAAAAGCGTCCATTTGTTTATTGTACACCATTATCGGGGATAACTTCCCCAATTACGTAAGATAAAAGTGTATGAGAAATGCGGCGAAGCTATAATGAGATTGTACCTTAGCTTGGTCGTTGGCATTGCAGTTTATTGTTCTTCAATCCAGCGCTAGTGTTTACATTCCTTCAGCTATTCAGTGGACAAATCGGCGACACCACGAGACCATCTCCAAAAATCGTTTTATGTCGCGAGCGTTCTTAGGTGTTGGCATTTCGCGGGTGGCCGACATTTCATGGATAGTAGTAGTCGGGGAAACACATTCATTTCCCGATGTTGTCTTGAATTTAGAGGCTTCGGTTTTCGTGAGGGTCTTGTATTCCGCTTGTAACCCCATCAAACTGTTAGCAATCTCCGCTTTATACTCGCTGCCGATAAATTGAGCCCAGTGGCTCATATACCAAACTCCCCTAAAGAAGCTTATCGCAAAAAATTGGCCACGAATTCGAAATCATTGTGTTTAGACAGATCTTTCAGAACAATTTTTCTTTCTTATCGAAAAATTAAAACGGCTTCTCAGAACGATTTTTTATCTAATTACTAAAGTCGGGCAAACATCAATGTTAGTATTTATTATTATCATTTGTCAATCCAAGACATATTGCAGTTTAATTTATCTCTGAAACTAGTATCATCCAACAAAACCAGAAGTTGAAGTCTCAATCAACAGATACTGAACGAATTTTGGACAAGCCATGTATTTTTAATTTAAGCTCGTCGCAAATTTGTTAACTTGCTGTTCCTACTAGGTACATTTACTAGTTGTATCTATGCACTACTCGGAAAAATTATAATCATTTACTAGAAATACTAAACCTCATCTACGAACAAATATTTTACGGTATGCTACAATAAGATATCAAGAATCTATTCAGGGCATGTGATTATGGAACGTTCCATATCATAAACAACACTAGAGAATGTAATATGAAAGAAGGTGTTATTTAGATCTACAGTCGGATGTTGTTCTTTCTAAAATATCTCCTTTTTCAAACATTCGGAAAAACTACGAAACGAGTGGAAAAACAAAATTCTGAAAAACGCGGGAAGGAAGGGTAACAAAACAAGATTTTATTTGTTATTAATATTTTTTATAGCTGTTTTCTCTTTTGTGTTTGCTTTCCTTTTTTTGATATTAGTAGGGACATAAAACTATTATCTGGTTTTACTCCTTACGACAAGTTATCGGCTGCCCTTCGGTGGGTGTAGCCCTTCACTCGAATGATCCAATCTCTCGACTATGCTCCCTTTTTTCCTTAGTGGTTCCCAAAGCTCGAAATTCGCTGATTGATGTCGGCCTGGTCACTAATATTGATCCAATCTCACTTGTTCACAACGCATATATGCAAGCTGGATCATTCATTTTTTCCATTCTTTCACAAGTTGATAACGTCATTCACGATAATAAGAACTAAAATGTCTCTGCTCGCGCACCACTTGTGAGGAAATTATCTGCCATTTGCGTGATGCCTGGGATAAACTCGCGAAGTTCCAGGAACCCCACAAGAAATTTATTTTTTGTCGCAACGTTTTCTTTATTTGCACGATATTTTACTTACTTTCGGCTAGAGGGGAGGAAAATTTTAGTTAATTTGATATTCAGAAGTTATGGTGAATTGTCTCATAGCCAACTCAAAAGTTTTATATTCGATTCACGTTTTAAAAGAAAAAGGAATTAAATTGTTATCACTGTCTAAAAACACATGGTTTCTAATCGAGAAGAGAAAGACAAATTGAAAAGGGTCGGCTCTTCGGCTCCGACAGTGTAGAAGTCACCTGACTCGCTTATTCTTCAAGGTTGTCGCCTGCCAACCTTACCGTACCTCTGTTTCTGACTGGATTTTCCCAAAACACTTATTTGTCATGCCAACTTAGCAAAATTATCTACTTATCTAACCTAACACTTCCCTCACTGAGAGAGGACTTATGAGGTCAAAACGCGGAACAATTTTACTCGTCATAATACATATTAAATATATATTATATATACACCATTTTCCTATATCGATTTTGTATCTTTTTCTTCCTTTATTCAGCTTAATTAAGCAATATTTAAGATTAAAAGCTTAAATTACGAGATTATAGAGAAAAAATATGTCAGCGTCCGCAACAACAACGATTGCAAAGCCGAAAATAAATAGTTCACAATATTTTTAGGATTAAAGTACCTCAAACCGGCTTAACTATTCTCTATTAGATGTGTAAAGAAAATCAGTCAAATTGCTTTATAAAATATATCTGACGCATTTATTTCTCCCGGAGTTGTAGATCTAAATAACTTTGAAATTGGGGCTATGAAAGTATAGAGTGATGGCATTTACGGCGCTGTGTTTTTTCATTATTCTACAACCAACTGGAAAAAAAATGACGCTAAAGCTACGGGTTGATTAAGTGACTTTGAAAACAGTTGGACAGCGGTTTTAGAGATGTCGTGCAAAAAATTCAAAACCGGGAACCGTGACCGTAGTCTCCAGCAAAACCAACGCAAAAAGCGGTCTACAACATGGGCTGAGAAGAGCTCTTGGGGTCATGTCCTCGTCGCCAAAATGAAGTTGTCTCCTTCAATTTTATAGAAACATCGCGAGTTCCTGCACACAGGGTGGTATTGAAAACGAGTCAATTCGATGGAAGAACTAGCCCACAATATAAGGTAAGCTGAGTCCTGTGGTTTTAAAAAATCGAAAAAACCGTTGACATTTCTTATTTTAAAATTTATAATTTTTAAACTAGATACTTCTCAGACGATATGATACGCGAGGGGTTATGTACTAACTGGTTTGGCGTTCGCAGCGTTTTATGTATTGATTATTTATGGCCTAAAATAAATAAATATTTATTTCTATTACTTTTTATTTTGACATTACATACGCCTAAGGAACCATAATAGTGGAAAATAGGCGAAAAATGTATATTAGATAGCCACGAATCTTCTGCCTGTGCCTCAAACTAACACACTCACTTACTCGATTGGTGCCACGTTTGCTCCGATCGTTTAACAGTTTGGACGAAATATTTATACAGGACGCAAAATAAAATTTTTCACCTATGGTGGGTAAATGTGACAAACTTCTGCAACTAATTTACCAGTCTTCAAAAATATTTTCTCCAAATCTTAGTTTAACATTAATTATAAAATGTAAGTCACAATTGTTGGTTAAAATGACAAACATGGCTACAACTAAGGTAAGATAAGGTTAAAAACTGATGAAGAATAAAGACACATTAGATAGCCTTCGATCAGACTCTCTGTTACAAACGCAAAGATTAATACACGTGGCGGTTGTGCTGTTAGTTGTCGTCATGATGCTTCAATTAGTCACATTAGTTTTTTTTTAAACTAAAGTGTAGGATATTTTGCATAAACAAGAAAAATTGTTGATACGGTTGTATATTCTGTATTATTGATACGATTTTGAATCTGAAATTCAAATTCTAGGTTAAGATTGGTCAAGTTATAATTTCATCCACTAAGCTAACACAACTAAACTAAGCAAAGGGTATTCTCTCAGGAATATTTTGAATTAAATGTCATTGTCATTACTATAATGTGATAATATTTTACTCCTTAGTAAAAATTTAAATGCGAGAAAGTCTAATATATTGTTACGAAAATCCCAAATTCAGTTAATGTCAGCTAAGTAATTTTCGTAATAATAAATTCCCTAAAGAAGGAAAAACGAAATAAGCATTCGCAGGCGCCTCATGTAGCTGCAGGCCGATGAAAACGATTAGAGGAAAAGCAGGTATACTAACACGCTTGTAAAAATGTACATAAACAGAATATTTGTGGAAGGAAGAGTTGATCGGGCAAGAACATTTGAGCTGAGAGTACGGCCAAAATAAATTGTGAATAATTCTACTGTTAAGAAATATAATTGTAAATAAATACTCCTTCTGTTGTGAAAGACAAAGTAGTAAAATAAAAGAATTTTGAAGTGTATTTCTCTTGATCAAAATACCCACGATCTAGTGATACAGACTGCATCTTAGTAAGAGCGAATTTCATAACAATATATAGCATATAAAATTCTCGACTTTTGCGTAGCTATTATTTAAAATGAAATTTTGAAAAAATAAACTTAATCGGGAATCGGAAACTTATAAAATAATGGAAATCTTTTTCGTTACTTTTGACAGCTTTCACGAACATCATCAAAGGTTTAGAAGGGTTGATATCTATTAGCATAAAGCTGAATGTCTTCCACATCAAAGTTTTTATGCGTTAGTATAAAAGTTCTTATCTGCATTGGTTCCATAGTTATTTCGAACTTTTTGTTTTTCGCCTTTAATTTTTCTTCTAAAGGCCTATGCTTAGCGGTATAATATTCCAAATTTTTCACGGGTTTTTCATCTTTTTGGAATTTAAGACGTTTCATATCCTTGAGAAGCATGTTGCCATCTATAGTAGTCTCATGTATTTTTTCAGCTTTTAGTGACATTAAAAAAGGTTTCAGGTTGAAAGTTATTGACGACTTATCGAACATGTTCTCCAAACGTAAAAGACTTTTAAGGCTTGTAAAAGGTTCTAAAGTAAGAACTTCGATACCTTCCGGTAAAGAGGAAAAATTTGCGTTCACCGTACTATTAATATTTTGAAAAGATCGACTAAAGAATAACCAAACTGGTAGGTGAAGTTCCTGTTGAATTAAACGTTCTTCTGTCGCTGTGTCATTATCCGCCGGATTTAAAATCAAATAAATTTTACCCCGCGCCACAGTAGTGTCATTCAGGGGTTCGCCAAGTCCTCGTGAATCATCGTGAAGTAAACGTCGATGCAACATCAATTCCAAAGTGCCATCCCCCAAACACGAGCCTCCTTGAGCACGATCGTTTAAAAGGGTCATACGTTTTTTGTCATCTTCTAAAACTATTCGGCCAGTTATGGGATAGTAATTGCCGGGAATCTCTTTCGTGTCATTTCGTTTGCGATGTATCATTTCACGGCCGTTCGAATCGGTGTAAAAAATTTCCTGATTACGAATATCGCTGCTAAATACTGTTACTACCTCCTTTCCTAGACGATCACCAATTGGTATGGGGCCTACTAACCATTCAAACTCTACCCGACTCACACCTTCGTAGATGCGAATCACCTGAGATGTCCAATTATTAAAATGTTGATGAATTTCCTTGACCAAAGGGCCATCGTAAATTTTTAGATCTATTTTAAAGCTCCTTATATTCGCCCCCTGAATGGGAGGTGCAGATATGTAGGCTCCAGAAGTTTGTTTATCTCCTTCCTTTGTTGCTTCGTAAAACAGAAATTTTTGACTCACGTTCGCAGATATTCCATTCATTTCAACTTTCCATAGAAAGCCGTTGTTGTCAAAGAATAATTTTACCAACTATAATAAAAATTAAAAAGCAAACAATAAAACGTTTCTGTATACTTAATATTTGCCGAACGCACTTACTGAATTTCCTACCATTTCGCCGTGGGGTTCTTTGCTCAGCTCTTTCATCTCAGAGTCAACACTCAGATTCTGAGGCTCGGAGTTTCGATTTGTGCTTTTTATATGATAATGTCCCAATTTTGCAACATCAGCCTCGAATACTAGATCATATTGTGTCAAGTTCGGCCTTAAATATTTCAAAGCAATCAGTTCTTCTGGTAACGGTACCAACTGAGATTTAACAGCATTTCCTTGGAAATCCTTCACCATATAGTAACCACGCGGCACAGGTATGCGGACATATTGCTTTGTGGCACGAGTTAACGGATTGTAGACGGTGACTAATAAATTATTTGGTCTATTTTGTGTGAATTCACATATGCTTATGTTCAACTGGAAACAACTAACGAATTCACCGGTCTTTAAAGAAGTTAACTTTTGAAGAGCCATTTTTGCTGTATGTTCAGCGCTAGTTAAAGCTGATGACAGAATACGAGTGTAATCATTAACCACATGTTTTTTGCAGGTACCAGTTATAGCATCATGATGTTGCATAATACCCAATGATTGCTTTAATTTGCTCAAATTGCTCATGGCATCCGGAATATTATGAAGCTTAGAAAGGGCGGTTAATTGTTTAACAACTTGTAAAAAATGATTACCCAAGCGTATAAAATATTTGAACGTAGGTCTGGATGTGAAATAACCAGTCCAATAAGCATGCGGTTTATCAGCATATGGAAAGAAATCTTGCGTGTTGGTAGGCCAAGTCAACTGCGCTCTATGTAAAGCCTGCAAATAACAGCCTGGTGTAGAATAAAAGATATTTACATATGAACCATTCACTTGACGAGCATTGACATAGCTGGCAAAAGAGGAAACGAAAGTGTACGCACTTCAATTTAGTTCATAAAAATGTACATTAATTAAAATATATTGTTTAATTACTTGCTTACTTGATATACATACAAAATTAACAATATTTAATTTAAAATTATATACAACTAATATTCAGACATATATATATGCAATTAAATTTACGCAAACATACTTGATCAATTTATCCATATTTTTAAAGTTTCTTGCAGCTACCATATAATGGAAATCATCGCCCATAGGTACAAGCAAATTCGTAGCTCGATAATGCTCCGACATACCAATAATGTAATCAATAAATTGGTCAACCTAGCCACAATTATATAAAATTTCAAGCAAAAGTGTTTGCAAAAGAAAACTTTCCCACCTTATCTTCAACATTATTCAATTCATTGTTATCGTCAACTATGGGATCATCGGTACACAGGATGTCAAAACAAAAACCAATAGGTGCGGAATAATGCTTGTAAAGAATGCTGGAAAAGATTTCCGAACGTTCATCTTGACTTGCACTGGCCTGCCATATCATTTCGGCTGAGCGATTATTCATTCGTCCTTCCTTCTCTTCGAAATCAACGCGAGCAAAAAATTGTCCATCATAACCCATTTGAGCTAATATGGAAGACATTTGTTCTGAATGACCAAAAGCATCGATTTGCCAGCCTACCCGTGGTCGAGCGCACTTATCAAACGTTTCTGATAAAAATCTTAAATCCAATTAGAGAGAGAGAGAGTTTTGGTGACTTGTTAATTTCATTTAAAAGAAGAAACAAAGGCTATTTACTGTAAACCTAGAGTGAACTGATCTATAACGCTCTGATAGTGAACAGTGGCTTCATCATTAGCCGTCCAAGCACCTCCAGCAAATTGCAAACGTTCTTCTTTGACTAACTTTCGCACAGTCTCCTGCATTTCCGGCTTTTGACGATTAAACCACAAGGAAAAATACGCCATTTCCACGTACACAAACCTAACGGTAAACATATTCAATTTTAAATTGTTATATTTAGTCACATGGCTACTACCTTCTTCGTTCATCCTTCAATAACTCTTCTACCACAGTATCCATAATACTTTCGACATGAGCTCTTTGTATGTTGGTACTAGTACCGTAATAATATTCATTCATAGTTTTAAGCCAACCAACATCATCATGGCTGTGAGGCACTAAATGCACATTAATTAGATTCTTCTTCGATACAGGACAAGACTAAAATTATATGTTCGTATATATAGTCATTATTTATATTCGTATTTAGTATTCGTATATATAGTATAATATTTATATTTAGAATTAAGTATTTTTACCTTAAAACCACAACGCGTTGATTCTTTACCATAAACAATTAGTGGCAGTAATACCAATAATAATAGTACTACCGGCATGTTCGTAGTCTCTTCTCTACTTGTCATTTATATTTTGTCCGCGGCTTAAAGAAAAATTACGATGAACACAACGTTTGTCTCTTAGAGAGTGAAGAATATTTTACAAACGCTTCATAATTTATTTACAATTTCTTGTTTTCATTGTTCAATAACTCCCATATTTTGGGTGATAACGAGTAATTCGTAAATAAAAAAAGAGAAAATCCATTTACGAATTATGTAGAATCTTTGTAATCCCTACCTAAATCAATATATATTTTGAATATATTTTACGCGAAATCCTGATTCGAACGAGACATTGTAAAATTTTCAAACATAGATGAATCTGAGAGAGAGGCTGTGTATAAAAAATTATTTGTGCAGACACATTAGCCTACGGTAGCGGTGCCGACCGAGTATGTGAATATAAGATATCCTATATGAATGTCAAAAAAGGGCATAATAGAATTAAAGTCATCTTACATGAGATTTTATGATATATGATATTTAAAAGTATGTATAAGATGTAAAAATATATAAAGGTATGTTTTCATATAGAGATTTGTAAAATTTTCATGAAATTCTTTGAAAGCAATAAAAAAGGATAACAATTTTAAACGCACTGCGACTACGATTGCAACCACTTTTGAGCCTTTCGTTTGCTTCGGAACCTTTATAAACCTTTATATTAATTTTAAATTGTTTTAGAAAAATATAAGTAAAAGTGTGCGATTAAGTCAGAATTTATGCGACAACAACATTCAAATATACCATCGAAATTTTCGGGCAAGACTGTTGCGAATGTGAAATGAATATTATTTCTGTATTTGTAGGTATTACAAAAGAAGTGCCAATTTTAACATACGGTCAGTCTGATAGAGGGTAACGCTAGAATGATAGTAAGTGTTGTCGTAAATGCAAGCATTTTAAACTTTTTAAAACACAATATGAAATAACTTTTTATTACTTATATTACAGAGAATTGCTTTTGGTATAATAATGTCGAAACTTAGATAAGAAAACAAATACTATTAAACATACGCATAGATATTGTTCAGGAATACATTGAGTTCAAGAAGAAGGGAAGAGCTTCTTTGGACATTTTTTTCACAAAACATATTCTTGCTTCTTTCCCTCTTTCAAAATTATTTCCGTCTTTGTTTACAATAAAAATATTCATATAACTTTTAAAGGAATTGGTAAGGACGCCACTGCAACTACTTTTACTAATTGAACCTAGTTAGCAGTTCTTTTTAGCTCTTAGCTAACTACGGGCTAATGAACTTGAACTAAAGTAACATCCGAGGTGTTAATAAAGGTTTTTGTCAGGCGTTTTCCCTCTTGGATTTCTCAGTAAATCTAATTGTCAAATTGAAAAATATTGTGCTCTGCTCGGAATATGAAAAGAACAGTATATTGACTAGTAATTTTTAACATTGCAAAGACGCCGTAAAAGCGAAACGCCAACATTTCCTCTTGACAGCAATAGAATTGCTAACGAATGAAGAAGGCCAAATCACCCTTCCAAAAATAGAATTAAACAAAAAATTTATATTGGGCTAAGATCCGAATCTCGCATACCCGCCACCATTACATTCTTTGGCGCCCCTGCTTTTATTTATCGTCATAAAAAAGTAAATGGATTATAATATTTATATTTCACCTTTTATTTCACTGAAAGATATTGTTGAAAAAATTTAATCTACCACATCGTGACGTCCACCATAACGAATTTAAAATTAACACATTTTTTTCTTTCTTTTCTCATTTTACTCTCTATTTGAGAGAACTGTCAAAAGGGACGGTATTTTTAAGAAAAAATTAATCCACCACTTCCTACCGTCCACCATATTTATTTTACAATTAGCTCAGAAATGTACGAAATAATTTTGAACTTACAGTCTTCTTTAATTTATGATTAATAAGCATAAAAGCTTAAAAAATTTTAAAAATGAATATTTATTATAATTTAGTGAATTGTTTGATCATAATTTGGGTCAATATAATCGCACCCCTAATTGTAATGGTAGACTGCTTGATCTCTGCTTTGCCAATTTTCCCGAGATTTACGTAAATCGCTGTCCACCTTTTAGTTTACCTGAGGATCCTTATCATCCATCAATATGCATTTCCTTTCATCATATTAATGATGGTTTGTTGAAATGCCTTAATGTGCCAAACCAAATTTTTTAAATAATTATTATGATTTTCATAAAATCAATATTGTATTACTAAAACATCGTCTTTCACATCTGACGCTTGATTTCTCAACCGGTAGTATTGAAAAATTATTGCCATCGTTCTACAATACATTAAATCTAGCATGTGTTCCGATCAAGCGTTGTCGACCTCGAAGCAGATGTCCCCCGTGGTTTAATAAGTCAATTAAATATCACAAGTATAGAAAAAACTCGCTATTCAAAAAATATTCGAAAAGTGGCTCTGCGCTCGACTATGTCGCTTACTCGGTGGCGAGGCATAGATTTAACTCCCTCAACCATCATTTTACTGCAGATACCTTCAGTTCATTAAAGCCTCTCTGCTTGCTAATCCTAAATTCTTCTTTAAATTTGTTAACTCTAAAAGAAAAATTTCCACATATCTCTCTCATGTTTCTTTTAATGGCTCTGATTCCTCGGATGATTTTGAAATCCCAAATCTATTTGCTGAGTATTTCCGATGAAACTTTTCGATTGCTAATTTCGATTTATCAGCAAACCGCCCATATCCTATAACTAACTCGGTTTCAATACCTAACTTGGTTATTTCGAAAGATGATGTTTTCAAAGGGTTGAGTTCTCTAAAATACAGTTGTTCGCCAGGACCTGATGGAATTCCATCATGTGTACCTAAATCTTGCGCTGTCGAGTTGTGTGGTGTGATCTCAAAGTTTTTTAACATGTCCTTGTATTTAGGCGTTTTCCCTTCATGTTGGAAGAGCAGTTTCCTTATTCCTATCCCCAAAAGTGGAAGTAGACAATTTGTTGAGAACTACAGAGGCATAGCCAAGTTGAGTGTCTTGCCCACGTTGTTCGAGCGTATTGTGACTCAGCATTTGGCCTTTGCCATTAATTCGTATATTTCTCCGCACCAGCACTGCTTTCGGAAAGGGCGATCTACAGTCACCAACTTGTTAGAGTTTACCTGTCATGTTTTCAAGGCTTTTTCTAGTGGCTCTCGCACAGATGTTATTTACTCTGATTTAAGCAAAGCATTTGATATGGTTAACCATAGACTACTTATCTTTAAACTCCAAGCCTCTGGTTTCCCACCCTACTTAGTGAAATAGATAAGCTCTTATCTGCACAATAGATCCTTCAGGGTTTTGTTTAACTCCATTATCTCGGATGAATTGCCCGTTACGTCTGGCGTACCTCAAGCAAGTCACTTACGTCCCATCTTATTTAGTTTATACATTAACGATCTCCCATCGGTGGTTAATTCCAGCCAGATCTTAATGTATGCTGATGATGTGAAAATGTTTTCTTCCTTCTCTGTTGAATCCCAATCACATCAGCTTCAAAGCGACTTGGATAATTGTGTTGCATGGTGCTCTTCGAATCTGCTGAAACTAAATCTGAGCAAATGTAAGAAGCTTTCTTTCTCAAGAAGAAAGTCATTCATTACTCAGTATTTCATAGATTCGCATAAGTTGGAGGACATCGATACGATCACAGATTTAGGCGTTCTATTTGACCATAGGTTGCGTTTCAACTTGCATATTGAGCTTTCGATAAGCAAAGCTAGATCCGCGCTTGGTTTTATGAAAAGGTGGTCCAAAGAGCTTGATGATCCCTACGTTACGAAAATGCTTTACATGTGTTTGGTTAGACCTATACTCGAGTATGCCTCAGTTGTGTGGTCTCCTTCATATAGGTGCTACGTAGATTTGATTGAATCTGTTCAAAAGCAATTCTTGCCGTTTGCCCTTAGAAATTTGGGTTGCGTCCGTTTGCCTCTCTTCCTCCCTATGAAAATAGGTTGCTTCGGCTGTCCTTACCGTCTCTTGAGAAACGTAGGCTTGTTCTTGGCGTCTCCTTCGTAATCAAAGTAATAAATGGTGCTATTGACTCGCCTTCATTACTTGGTGAAATAAGCTTTAATGTCCCTAACCGCTCCTCTAGGCACTTTATCTTGGTTAAGCTTAATCAGTGGAAATTTAATTATGAGCTGTTCAATCCGCTCAGAGTCGTTTGCAAGAACCTAAATGACGTCTACCACTTATTTTCGTTATCGGACTCTTTAAAGTCCATTAAAGCAACATTGCTTAATAAGCGCGATTTACCTATGTCATATTTAAACTAGCTTTTATCCTTAAAAAGTCGTTACGTTTCGAAAGTGAATTATTGTCAATTTATTATCGGTTGCCAGGCTTATGCATGTTTGCGATGGCTTAGGGATTCATTTGCAATTTGGTCCTGTACCGGTTGTAAGTGTGCTTCTATGCTGATAGTGTACATGCTTTTTTTCTCTTTTTTCTTTTTCTTTTTTTTTCTTCTTATTTGTTTTATTATGCTTATACTCAATTTTATTGTTAATTAATATTAGTTTTGCATTAAGAGCCTATTGAACTCGACTGTTATTTGTTTAGTTGAGTTTCTAGTATAAGTGGAATAAATAAAATAAATAAATAAATAACTTTTTGCGGGTATGTCCGATTTTTCCATTTTTGCACATAAATACTGGAGTTTCCTATTAGGTAAATGCGGAAATTGTCAGCCTTATTTCTTTTATAATTCGTGAGAAGTCAGCAAAAACCAAGAAATGTTTTCCTAGAAAAACGGAATTACGTTCATTTTACACTTTACTGCGGACTTGTGCTCTGACCCATTTTCAATACCAACCCGCATGCAAAAATTTCCAATGTTTCTATCAAATTTGGAGTCGATATCTTCTCTTTTCCGACCAAGTCAGTGTCAACAATATACAACGCAAACATGCATACAGGCAGACGGATAGATATGGCTTAATCAATTCAAAATTCCACGGTGATCTAGAATATATATTCTTTAAGACCTCTGAAACTTCGTTTTGGGTGTTTCAAACACTGTGATAAAAGGAATAAACC